TCCCATGACCCGCCGGGCAGCGTCCGGGAATCCAAAGTCTTTGGGATCCGGGGGGAGTATGGTTGCGAGAGCGTGGTACTTTCATGGAATTGACAGATAGCGCATCCACCAGGAGTAGAAGCCTGGAGAGTGATCTCGGTTTCCGTAGAGAGAGAGAGAGAGAGAGAGAGAGAGAGGATAAAAACACGCTCAAACAAAGATGATCAATCTCCCATCAAGCTTCGGGTGCGTGTGTGTCATTCCGCTGCAGCCAGGAGGGGAAGAGCGCTCTCATGTCAGGCAGTGCGAGGACGGTGGCGCTCCTCCGCAGCAGCAGCCAGCGGGACGGAGCGATAAATAAAACAGGAACAACGAGCGAGAAGGAGCGAGCGAGGCGGAGTCGACCGGGGGAAGGAGAACCGGGTCGGCGAAGCGTTAATGGTTATAATACAAAACATAAAAAGAGGAAAATCCGATATTATAATTTCTTTCTTCTTATCGTGTCCTGGCTCCGATCATGAAGACACCCAGGGGTGACGGGTCTGCGTGGAGAGGGTCCGGAGGAACACACGCACACGCGCACGCAGAGAGAGAGAGAGAGGGGGAGAGAGAGAGAGTGTAGAAAGAGACGGTGTGTCTGTTTTTTTCCTGCTCGTTCTCTCGGCGAAGATGCTGCAGTCTTTGCATTCAGAGCATCCCTTCTCTGACTGGCTGCTAGAGGGAGCGCAGGGGAGCCACTGACGTCACAGGGCCTTGCGATGCCTTCAAGGACATCCCGTAAAATTGGTTTTTATTCTTCTCGTGACGTGTGTGTAAAAGTGCGACGTGTCTGTGTGTTGAAGTGCGTGTGCGGGCGGCGGGCAGGCAGGGGCAACCCGTGAAACCATCTTATAAAAAGTGAATTGTCTATTTTGTGTGTTTTTTTTTTTGTTCATGAGACAAAGCTATGATATAGTTAAAATACATTTGTTTGTGAAATGCTGATGAAATGAACATACATCACAACAGTGGTCTTTAACATTCTGCACTCTTTACTGTAAAAACACAACAAAGTAAATAACATGTAGACGAGTCTCCTCTGGGTCCATCAAATAAACATCAGCTCAAATCAAACATTAAAACCCGCTCATGCGAACCAAAACCATTGGCCTCGAAAAGTATACAGAAGTCTAATGGAAGCACAATAAAGAGAAGAGAGTCTCCGCTCAAACACACACACAACACCCACTCACATCACCTTAAAGAAGCCTCCAAACTTTTTGATTGCCACATTTCCCACGTCCCGCGAAGGGGTCGTGAGGGAGAGAGAGAGAGAGAGCGCGAGCGAAAGTGGAGGGAGAGTGGGGGCGCCTTCAGTCGCGACACGATTGGCCGAGTGTGCGTTTCTCCGGCTGAACGACAGGGACACAGATACACAGAGAGGATGCGGCGGTGGGTCCTTTATTTATTTATCTTTGTTTATTTGACTCCGCTACAGTCGCGGCAAAAGCAATTGCGGTTGAAGGGTGGGGGCCCGCGAGGCCCCTCTGCGGCGGTTTGGAGGTCTGCGAGCCGGCCGGAGGAGCCTCCAAGTCACCTGCACATCAGCTCGCCCACATTTTTATTTGTGTTCTTTTTCTCTTCCTGGCTTTAGTTTTACACTGAAAATCAACATGTGAAATAAACTGGTGACGTTTAACGATTGGTTTTTTTTTTCATGGAGTTGAAAATTAGCAGCTTAAAAAAAAAATACAGCAATTTATTTTTTAGTTTGTAGCCGTGGTCGTTGTTTGCCCCCTCGTGTGGTCTCCATAATCTCACATTTTCTTTGCATCTCACAAAAACTAATGACCCTTAGGGCGTGACTGCAGGCCTGCTCA